GAGCATTGGATTTGGAATCAGATGACCTGGAATTAAATCCTGGGTTTGTTACCTGCCACTTGCCTAGTTGTTGACAAGTTACTTAACAAATGAAATCATTGAATTAGATAATCTCTAAGGGCAGTTAGAGCTTTTAATTGAAATGAAACTTTGACTTGATTCAACATTTTGTACTACTCTCCCTTTCAAAGAGAACATACCAACTTTCCTACCTGATATTAAATTTATATAAATCAACATGGTGTGGAATAGTAGATAGAGGACAAGTCTTAGAACCAGGAAGACCTGAATTCAAGTCCTTCATCTGAAATTTGCTGTCTGCAAGACTACGTATGGGTAAATTTTTTAACCTCTTAGTCAACTCCAACATTTTATATTCTAGACAAGCTGCCTATCTGCATCATGGAGGAAGTTTCCATACTAAATGTGCTTCACACTGATGATTTGATTCAATCCAAATTAGTCCAACAGATTTTCTAGTTAATTTCAGAATATTGGGTTGGTGGTGGTTAGGGAATTGCTAAAAAAGAAAAAAAAAAGAAATGACCTGTATCTACTTGACAAGAAACTGATTTAAAATCAAATGTATGGAGAAGCTTAGAATTGTTGTTTTTTGAACTGCTTATGCTGCAGAAGGAAATAATTCATCTAGCCCAATAGGCTGATACCTTCCCACCCCCATCTTTAAATTCTTATTTGAAGAGCATCCATTTGTACTATATACAGTTTCTCAGGCAAAACTATTAATCTTACACTACCTTGTGTTCATGTGTGTGCTGAAGCAGCATTTCTGAAAGTGTTACTAGTTTTGTAGTTCTACTTCAGAAAACCTTGATTAAGTACTACAAAGAATCAGCAGGATGAACAAATGGATAGATATGCTTTGCTCTTGATGAAATAGCATATAGATCAGCAAAGCAGGACCAGTGAGTATAAAGGAACCAAACATCACCTCATTTATACTATATATCATTTCTAGTGTACAGGCAAAAGAACCAGAAAGGGACTAAAAAGATGTGAATTCTAGTCCTGGCTCTTCTGCTACTTATACATGTGATATTAGGAAAATCACCTCTCTAGTCACCTCTTTGAGTCTTTTTGTTTTTTCATTTTTAAAATCGGGGAGTTAGCTTTAAAGGTCTATTCTTTTTTCCTGTTAGTTTCCTTCATGCCTATGTCAACTGTACCAGAACTGGCCTCTAACCTGGAGGTGGCTGGAGCCACACAGCAAAGCAGGCTAGAGATAGGAGAGTAAAGACACAAAAGTTTAATTGATTTCAGAGGAAAATGACATTTGCAAATGGAGGCCCCTCCCCAACCCTACTAAGATGGAGGGCTTAATATGCTGTACCAAAGGCAGACCTTACATGTATATGTATAAAAACCATAAGTTGGCTGGGACATGAAATAATTATGTTTAGGTCAAGTTACTGTTCCCGTGGTCCCTAGGGGAACAATATTATATCAAGTCTTGGGGGTCATGATTGCTTACAGGGTGCAGAATCAGAGTTCCATAATGGGAATAGGACTGCAGTACCTGCCAGTGACAAGGAACAGGGATTGTGAATATGTGATGGATAGTCCTGGGAAATAAAGAGAGCTAAATCCCTCAGCGAATACCTGGTACTGGTCCAAGCAATACACTTTGCCAGAGGATGATTCCAGAGCACAAAGGAATGCTATGCCAAGATCAGTGCACAGCCTGATTGTAGTTTTTATGTATATAAGTCCTGCCTTTTGTGCAGCACGTTAAGCCCTTCTTCTTAGGAGGTGGGGCTTCCATTTGCAAATGTCATTTCCCTCATTAAATTTCTGTTTGTGTCCTGATTTTCTTGTCTCTTACCTACTTTATTTCTGCTCCTGCCACCCCCAGGTTAGAGGCCAGTTCTGGTCTGGTTAGCACCTACAATATCTAACTGACCCCAAATCAGACCATACATTCTGCTGTCCATTGTAGCTATCCTACCATAGGTCCAACCATTGTCCCACTTCTCCACTTGTGGAGTGGCACTCTTTGAATGGGACCAGCAGAAACCATGCCCCTAGTCTACAGGGAAATTTAATCTATTCAACCATGGAATTCCTATCCTGGCGATGCACTGTCTTTTTTTTTTTTAATTAATTTATTTTTAGTTTTCAACATTCACTTCCTTAAGATTTTGAGTTTTAAATTTTCTCCCCCTTACTCTCCTCTCCCCTTCCCAAGATGGAGTGAAATCTGATAAAGGCTCTTAAATTAAGCATATCTTTACATTAGTCATGATATAAAGAAGAATTAGAACTAATGGGAGGAACCATGAGAAACAAGAAACAAAACAAAACAACAAAAATGAAGGAGAACAAATAATATGCTTCCTTCTGCATTCAGACTCCATAGTTCTTTCTCTGGATGTGGACAGCATTTTCCATCATGAGTCTTTTGGAGTTGTCTTAGATCCTTGCATTGCTGAGAAGAGCTAAATCTATCAAAGTTAATCATCACACAATGTGGCTGTTACTGTTCGCAATGTTCTCTTGGTTCTGCTCACTTCACTCAACATCAATGCATGCAAATCTTTCCAGGTTTTTCTGAAGTCCACCTGCTCATCATTTCTTATAGCACAATAGTATTCCATTACTTTCATATACCACAATTTGTTCAGCTATTCCCCAGTTGATGGGCATCCCCTCAATTTCCAATATTTTGCCACCACACATTATATTCTAGACAAGCTGCCTATCTGCATCATGGAGGAAGTTTCCATGCTAAATGTGCTTCACACTGATTTGATTCAATCCAAATTAGTCCAACAGATTTTCTAGTTAATTTCAGAATATTGGGGTGGTGGTAGTTAGGGAATTGCTAAAAAAAAAAGAAATGACCTGTATCTACTTGACAAGAAACTGATTTAAAATCAAATGTGTGGAGAAATTTAGAATTGTTGTTTTTTGAACTGCTTATGCTGCAGAAGGAAATAATTCATCTAGCCCAATAGGCAGATACCTTCCCACCCCCATCTTTAAATTCTTATTTGAAGAGCATCCATTTGTACTATATACAGTTTCTCAGGCATCTGAGTAACTGCATCTTCTCTAACATTTATCATTTTCTTGTTTTGTCATTTTAGCCAATCTGATAGGTGTGGTGTTGTTTTGATTTGCATTTGTCTAATCAGTAGTAAGTCAGAACATTTTTTCATATGGCTATAGATAGTTTTAATTTCTTCATCTGAAAAAGATGCACTGTTTTGATAGGCAAATAAGTGAGTATTAACTCACCTAGCCTGCATCTATCTGGTCTATGCTTCATATAACATTGAGATGTTATATGGTCATATGCTTGGTTATTTTTCACCTTATCTTGCCTGGCCCAACAAATCACTTCCCAGTCATCTCCAAGTCTTGCTACCATTTGCCTTCACTGTGCCCTCCCTTCTAACTTAGCTCCACTTTGTGTGTTGTCTTCCCTTGTTAGAATTTGAGATCCTGAAGGTCAGGAGCTGTCTTGCTTAGCTCTATTTTTATTCTCAGTGCTTAGTACATTGTCAGGCAGTGGTAAGAGCATTTTTCATTGATTTATTGATTGATTCATGGAATGGCTGTGAGAAGGAAATTGATTAGTTTCATGATACCATGTGTTCTGGGGTAGGCCAGTCCCCTGGTTGTTTAGGTTTGATATTGAAACAACATAAGATAATCACAGGTCAGTTAACCATTAAAAAAAAAAAAGATTTACTTGCCCATAGCTGAATAAGCATATTCAAAAAAGATAGGCATTGAGGATACCTAGAATATATTTAGCTAAGTGAAATTCCCTTGCCTGAACTAACCATCATTACCCACCAACCAAGCCTCAGAGTGCTCCCTGGAGTTCTTCCTGGCTGTTTCATAGCCAGGCAATGAGGAAATAATGACAATAGTCTGAACTTTTAGCCCTCTGAGCCAACCAGGTGTCTAGGTTGGTCTCAATATGTCTTAAAAATAGTCTAACTTGCAAAAGAGAATGGGTTAGGATATTGCTCCTATCACACCTGCATTTCTATATAAGAAATAGAAGGAAACAGGCTATGATAAAGGCTGAAGGAAATTTACCCCTAAATAAATGTACAACTTGGTGAGTTGATGCAAAATTACCAGGAGGAACTTTAAATACAAAGTAGGTAAAAGAAAAGAGGATTCTCTCTCTGATGCTTTCTTTAAGGAAAATGGAAAGAATTGGGAATTAAATAAGATGTCAATGAAAATATAATAATAGAGGCTGAAGGTATCTGTCAGCTACAGGTGTCATTAATAGGGAGGCTGGGAAGATAGGCCATCAGGGTTAAATAAAGATAATCAAGATTTACCTTTCTCTCAGAAAACTGCAAATACAATACAAAGTACCTGTTGCCAAGGAATTTAGATTCTAATAGGGACACATAATATGACACTTACCAGGGTGTCCAGGGGAAGGAATTTTTTTGGGGGGGGGCCTGTCACAAGGATTGTGAGTAGAGCCATAGACAGCAGAGTGTCATGCTCTCCCTAGTGGCTATGTTAGTATTGAATTGATTTCTGTCCCCAGAGCAAGAGCAAGAAGTAGAAAAGGATGGAGGGGGAAGTCTTTATAGAGTGGTAGGGAAGATGGCAAGATCTCATGCTGGGTAGGCCCTGTTGTGTTGGTGGATGACTAGATGGGATGTGAAGGATGGGATGTGAAGTAGAGTTCCAAAGTTGCAAAGTCTTATCCTGGTAAAACAATGATGAGATATGGACATAGCCCATGACTTCAAGAAGCTTTCATGGAGCAGCTTATAACCAAATTGGAATAGGAACAATCTAGAAAGATTCAATTAATCAAGGGTGTGTTGGAGCCTCCTTCCCTCCTTCCCTTCCTCTCCTTTTTCCTTCCTTTCTTCATTCTTTCAAAATTTAAGAACAACATGTTAATAATTATAGTGCTTACATTTATGTGATACTTTAAGGTTTGCAATGCACTTTATCAATATTGTCTCATTTTATCCTTAGAATAACTTTAGGAGGTGCTTGCTTCAGGAGTACATATACTAAAACTGGAACAATACAGAGATTAGCATGTTCCCTGTGCAAATATAACATGTAAATTCATGAAGCATTCCATATTAAAAAAAAAGAGGAGGTAGGTATTATTATTATCCTTATTTTACATATGAGGAAACTGAAGGAGACAGGAATCAAATAACTTGCCTAGGGTCAAACTGCTAGTAAGTGTCTGAAGACATATTTGAATTCAGGTCTTCCTCACTCCAGGTCCAATGCTCTGGTCACTATGCCCTCTGGTTATCTCACTAGATGTTACCATTTAAAAAACTCATAATGTCTAAGCTATATGGCATGAAAAAATTTCAAAATGTTGAGACCTATCAGAGAAGACCAAAATCATGGGTAGGAAGAGGATAAGGTACCCAACAGCCTTTCTTGTGTGCTACTGGTGTGTAATGCCAACACTTTCAGTGAGCCTGCTAAGGATAAGCTCATATCCTAATACTTTTATTCAACTTCCAAACATACTTACTTTATATTTCTTGTGAATTAGTACATAGAATATTAAAAAAATAAAAATAATAGCAAGATAGTGACTTCTAACAGAGCTATTTCTATTTGAACTCCATGAAAAGAGATGAGAAGATAATGAAATAATCATGATAATAACAATATAATATGAAGGAATAATAGTAGAGTAACAAATTTTTCCAGGGCCATGTCAATCTGAACTTCACAAAAAGATGAGAATGAGATTTCTGTTATTACTTTCAATGACAGACAGTTATGTAGTACTTCAAGGTTTGCAAAATCTTTTAAATACATTAATTCATTTAATACAGAAATCTTGTGAGGAAAATGCTGCAAGTAATTTCTCATTTCACAGGGGATAAAATTAAGGGTTAGAGAAGTTCAGTGATTTTCCTAGGGTCAGCCAGTCAACAAACATTTATCATGTATTTTACTATGTTCCAGGCACTGTACTAGGCACCCAGGATATAAAGAAAAGCAAAAACACTATCCCTGCTCTCAAGGAGCTCACGTTCTAAAGGGAGAGACAATATGTAAATAACTATGTTATATATACTTATATTAAATTATATATTACATTATGTTATGCTCTATTCTATTGTAGGTAATTATAGGGGAAAGGTACTGGGAGGGGCATGACTAGAAAATACCTCCATAAAAGCGTTTGAGCTGAATCTTGAAGGAAGGAAGTCAGGCAAGCTAAGAGGCAGACATGAAGGAAAAGAACATTCCAGGCATTACTGAGACCAGTGCAATGGCATGGAGACAAAAGATAAGAGTTTTGAGTGAAATAGCATGTATGCATGGCTGGTTTTCTGGGGTATGTTCAGGGGAGTAAAGTACAGTATAAGAAGACTGGAAAGGTAGGAAGGAGCCAGGTGGTGAAGGGCTTTATTTGCCAAAAACAGGATATTATATTTGATCCTGGAGGTAAGAGGGGAGGGCTTTTGGGAAATGTAGTGACTTCTGTTTAGGACATGTCGAGTTTGAGATGCCTTGGGGACATATAGATCAAGCTGTCCAAAACGTGATGGGGTGATTTGGTGATGGGGTGATTTGGTGATGGGGAACTGGAGCTCAGTAGAGTGATGAGATTGCCAAGTGATGTAGTAGAGAGAAAAGAGAAGAAGGCCCAAGACTGACCCTTAGGAGACACCCAGGATAAATGGGAGTGGCTTGGAACTAGCAACAAAAAACTGAGGAGTAGTTAGAAAGATAGGATTAAAGTGAGGAGAGAACCCTGGCTTGAAAACCTAGAGAAGACAGAGTATCCAGGAGGAATTAAGAAGAATAAGGATCAAGATAAGATATGTGGTGATTAAGAGAGCTCTAACAATTTTGGAGAGGGCAGTTTCAGTTGAATGATGAGGTCAGAAAGTTAAGAGGAGGGTGAGAGTAGAGGAGGTGGAAATTCCTAATATGGATGGTTTTCTCAGAGGGTTTAGCTGAGAAGAGGAGAGATAGAAGGCATATGCTAATGGGGATGGTCAAATAAAGTGTGTGTTTTTTTTTTAAGGATGGAAGAAGTCATGGACATGTTTGTTGGAAGCAGGGAGATTGGGAGAGATTAAGGATTAAGGAAAGTAGAGACGGTATTGAATACAATCTACTAGAGAATGAGATCAAAGATGCATGTGGAGGGATGTATGGTAAGGATAAAGACTATTCTTTTAACAGCAATAGAAGTGAAGAACAAAAGGGTGAGAGAAGATGGATGAGTGGCATGAGAGGAGAATGAGAGGGATAAAGTGGGGAGAGCTCTAGAAAAATGACCTGAATCCTTTGGTGAAGTAAGAGGCAAGGTCCTCAGCTTTGAAAATAGGGGAAGAGGATGCAATGGGAGACTTGAGGAGTATATGGGAATAGTAAAAAAAGGAATAGCCACTGTCAAATGAGATAATGAATTGATTAGGCAGGTGTAAAAGGCTTGTCTTGCTGTAGTGAGTACCCAGGTGAGATTACGTAACATAAACTTGACATGGCTCCAATATAAGCATGGTTTCATGATTATCTTCAGCTCCATTCAGTAGGACATGAATAGGAGTAAAGGAAGCAGTTGGTGGGAGTAATCCAGAATTGGGGTTTGGAAAAGTGTGATCAGCAATAGGACAAGGGAATTCAAGAAAAGGGGATTCAGGAAAAGAGGATAGTGTAGAGTTGGAAAGGTTTACTCAGGGGTCAAGACAAGGAAGAAAGGTGTATAGTCAGCATAAAGGTGATGGTGTGGGAAAGGACTAAGGGGCGAAGGAAGTGGGGATCACAGTGAGGACAAAGACCAAGGTTAGAGTTTATAAGGTATATAAAAGATTATGATCAGGTAAAGGAACTTTGGGGTTCATGAACATAGAAGTAAAATAATTGTGGGTGAAGGTAACATTAAGTATCTGACCATCTCTCTGTATAGCTATGGAATGGAAAATTAGGTTAATCAGGATTGAGTAGATTGAGAAACTGAGAAGTTAGATTATTTGAGGGAGCATTAATATGAATGTAAATATGAATATTTTAGTTTACTAGGCACTGAACTCAATGAGAAAGGAAGGAGAATATCCTGGGGAGTCCATTGTTAAGAGCTACCAGAATCTTGATTCAGTAATAAATTTGGATCGAATAGTAAGTGTCTGAGACAGGATTTGATGCCAGGTCTTTGTGCTGGTCCTTTATGTTGTGTTGCTTTTTTTTTCTTTTTGGACAGAGAAAAATATTAGCGGGTATTTTATAATGAATATAAAAGAAAGTAAAATTAATCAAATCTGATCTTATACCGAAATAGACACATCTGTGTCAGAGATATGTTTTTCTGCTGGAAGACTGATAAAGAAATCAGAGTCTAGTATGCTATAATAGGTCATACCTCTAGAGCTAATGAGAGTTGGGGAAATTTAGTTTGACTTTATCCCTAGAGTCCCAGAGAACTCTGTCTTTTAGTGGAGAGCCAGAATCCTAACTTAAAATATGGCCTATATTTTATTAGCAAAGCTGAATCATCAGTTCTAACCCACTTTAAATCCCTGGCACAGGGGCCATATCTTTGCAACCGTGACTGAATTGGCTGTGACTGAAAGGTTCAGTCAGTCGCATTTGCTGTGGTTCATTAAGACAACCCCATGAGAGGTAGACTGATACATCTGGATTCCCACAGCTCACTAATCTTTCAGTCTGAGTCTGACGCAGCAGTGCATACTAGTCACAGAGCCATCGGCTGGCCTATTTACAAGCAGCCTCCCTTAAAAAAAAAAAAAAAAAAAAAAAAAAATAAAAAAATCCCCAGAGATTTCACTAAATTGAGCTACTTCACACAGAGATTCCACTGAAAAAAGTCTAAGACTTCTCTTTATGAGCAGGATCAAATGGCCTCTAGATAATAAGAATTTGACTGAGGATTGTGGATTGATCTGCATGCTTTAAAATATATGCCTCAGAGTTATGGGGGAAGGGAGCGGCTGTGACCCATTTCCCCAGAGAAATGTTGTCCAGTGACTAGGCATTATGGGAATTTTGGAGCCCACTCTGCAGAAATAACAAAACTCAGTATTGCAAATATGCAATAGTGTTTTGCTTTATGTTTGATAAAATGCTTCCTCCATTTAAAAAAAAAGTTTTATTTAAGGCTCTTGTTCTTCCATTATAATAATTTAGAGGTATTACTCACCACCCCCACACCCGCATCCCATGAAAAAGAAGACAGAGTGGCCATAGAAAACCTTGAGCATGAAAGAAATCAGGCTCACTGCTTTCAAAATTACAGGACACAGATTGACTGAATTTGAGAACTGAAAGGGACCTCAGAAGCATGTTGTCCAGACCCTTTGTGAAAAGAACCCTTATTATAACATTTTGGATAAGTGATCATGCAATAGAACCTGAGGTCAGTTCCTTCCTCAGCTGTCTAGGATTCCTTCCAACTCTAAAGCTATGATTCTCCAATCCTAAGTGACAACACCTAGCAACATATTCAAACATTCTGTACCGGAAGTCCTCCACCTCTGACAGAAGGTACTTGCTATCCATAAATTCCTAGAAGATACGATAGCATTTGGGTGGAGCCTCTTTCTAGAGATGCAATAACCCCAGAAGGATAGTATACCTTTGTTATTCAAGTGTTCTTGTCATATGAGAAGTAAACACATGACATACTTAAATTTTTATCTAAATGTTTTCAGGCACATTCATTTAAACAAAGACTAAATTCAGTTCAATACAATGTTCTATGTGAACCATTTCATATGTATATGTGTGCATACATATATGTATACATATATTTATATATACATATACATACATACATGCATGCATGCATAAAACAAGTACTGGGCCTATAACAACAGCATTTATTAGCAAGTTACTACGCTTGATACAGATAAAAATGCTCAAGTCCAGCTTGAGCTAGAGGAATTTGGAAACTGCCAAATTTAATGCATTTTCTTCTCCCTCCATTTCCAAATCATTTTCCTAGTGCCAGACCCTCTGACACTTTTCCCCAGCTTTTCCTTCTTGTTTTATAGCTTAGTTTCAGTTCTCATGTGCCCCTGGTGCCAACACTAACCCTGTCAGGTGAAGGAAGTACTGGAACAAGTGAGTTGACATAGAATG